TGGCTTTGGCCTGGCCCAGCCCTGCTATTGTAGGCATTCAAGGGGAGTGAATCAGTAGATGGGAGATCTCACTCTCTCTTCCACTCCCTCTCCCTCATACACATATATATAATTTTCCATGTGTATATCTGAATTTCAAATAAATAAAAATGTTTTAGTAATGAGAGAAATTAGGGACATGTGTTCCAGTATAATCAATATGCAATTGAATCGTGCTTGCTTGTGTGGTCTTTCTAGAAGGTGTGATGAGTACTTTGATGCTTGCATCCACTGGTAGTGGATATGTGGTCAGTGCTGTACATGGATACACATATACTCACATACACCTGTCGGATCAATGTATTTGTGTGTGAAAGTATAGGCACATGTATGTGTGCGTGTGTACATGCAGTCTTATACGTGTGTACGACCTGTGTAAGAATAGTGTATACACACACTTGTACATGTTTTTCTTATTGTGAAGTTTCACTGTTCATGTGTGTGCAGAGAAACACATGTGAGTACACATAGTCCGATATATACTCTGAAGTCTTAAGAGTCACTTTATATGTATATGAAAACAGAAACATATATATTCTTACACAAAGAGATTTGAAAAAGTTTGTGGAAAATGCAAAAATTTTTTGGTGCAAAAAATTTGGAAATACATGCATGGTTCAGAATGCGCATTTTCCGTGGGCTTTTGAAGGCTCCTCGTGTGTGCACAGGGTCACTGTGAATGTGGGGCGTGGGGCACTGATGTCCCCAATGCCCAGGAGCAGCACTGCCGTACGTGATGGGGTTTTTACTATGTGAACAACTCCTGCTAAAATCCTGGACTAAACGAAGAGACCTCGCCCCCGACTTGACTGCTGCACTTTTGGAAAATTCCTTTTGTTCAAAAGTTGGCAAAAATACTTTGTACATACATGCAAAGTGGATTACTGATAACGCAGTTGTGATTAGAAACAAGTTTTTCACTTGCACCGTGTCTGGGAGGAGACTGATAAGTTGCAGAGGAGCTGCAGGGATTGTTGGGTGGAGCTGTCCCAAGGTGACAGAACCTTCGGCTCTGTGGGCCCTGTCCACTCCGGGCTTCATGCACGCCTCAGCTTTGCAGCAGTCACCAATGCCTCCACCAGCTGCGTCACATGAAATAAGCCAGACACAGAAAGACAGGCACCATGCGTTCTCCCCCATCTGTGGGAGCAACGCGCTCCCTGGGAGGGGAGGTCGGAGAGAGGGGGTTGAACAATGGTATGAAAGCACAGATAAGAGGAATGGACACTAGCCTTTTACAGTACATTAGGGTGATTACAGGCTCAAAGAATTTATTATATTTTATAAAAACCTAGAAGAGAGGAATGTGAAGCTTCCCAACATAAAGAAAGGGTAACTAAGGAGATGGAAATGCCAGTTACCCTGACTTGATCATTACACATTGTATACAAATATAACATTTTCACACTGTGCCCTATAACTATGTACAATTTTTTAAAACACCTTTAAATGAAAGAATTAATTAAAAATAAAATTTAAAATAAAAAAACGCCTCCACATTGTTCAGAATTGCCCCAGAGAGAAGGTAATCTTTGCATTAAGAACCACTAACCTACAAAGGGTTGGTAAAGTGCTGGACAGGGCAGCCCGGCCAGTATTTAAGGCCTTGCCTCTGCCATGGTAGCGCGAAAGCTGCCATAGACCGACGTGAACGAACAGGCAAGGCAACGCCTTCACAAGTGTTGTCATCAGTGCTATTTACAGAGCCAGCATCTGGCCAGCAGGCAGCTGCCTGTCAACCTCTGCTCTGAAGTCATTTCAGAGACCAAGGGGATGTATCCCAAGTGTGGAAATCCCACCAAGTTTTCCAGGAAGCAAAACCAAGTCTGTCTCAGTGAGCCAGGCAGAGGTGGTTCACTGCAAGTGCCCACTTGGCCAGGCTGTGGTGCCCCATTGTTTGGTCGAAGACCAGGCCGGAGGTCTCTGTGGAGACGTTTTGTGGATGTGGTCAACGTTTATGATTGCTGGAGTTCCAATAAAACAGATGACCTTCCAGAATGTGGTGGATCTCACGCTAGCAAGCTGAGATCCTTGTGAGCAAAGCTGGTTTCCTGGAAAGGAAACCATTTTGCCTCCAAGACTAAGAGAGAAAGGCGGCCTAGATTCTCAGCCTGCCAGTTTGCTCTGCAGATTTTGAACTTCCCAGCGCACAATTGCATGAGCCAGTTCTTCCGACCAGATGTCTCAGTAGCTTGCCAACTGCTAGTATACATGCGTATATGTAGTTAGCGTCCATGTCCATGGGTTCTGATCTGTACAGTAACTACACGGCATTCGTTCTGTGTTAGGCGTTTTAAGCAATGTAGAGAAGACTTTATTTATATGGGAGGACTGGTATGAGTTATAAGTAAATGCTGCTCTGTTTTATATAAGGGACTTGAGCCTCTGCACATTTTGGTATCTGCAGTGGGTCTTACAACCAGTTCTCTGTGACTACCGAGGCTCAACGATATATCTATAATACATATACCCCATATATACATGTGCATATGTAAGTATGTGATACAGAGTGCATATCTGTCATGCATCTACCCATCTATGAAGGACCTACTTTTTTTTGGTTTTACTTCTCTGCGAAGCCTACTTAGAGGACTAAGTTCATGGTGATCTGTCCCAGGGGAGAGAAACACATCCATAAGGGGATAGGAGAAACAGTTGATGGGGCCTGCAGACGGATGGGATATAGGGTCCCAGAGGAAGGGATAAACGAGGGTTATGCTCAGGTTTCCCTCTCGAGCGACCTGGTGGGTGACGACGATGTTGACTGAGGGCCGGCCTGGTGATGCAGACGAGGCTGGGGACAGTGGGAGTGGGGCAGACCTGGGGAGTCATCACCCAGAGCCGATGGAAGAGTAGGAAGAACATGGCGAGTGGCGCTCAAGGAGGAAGAGCTGCCACTGCTGACCTTCCCCAGGCTGGATGGAACCGCGGGCCTCAGATCAGCAGGGGAGTGTTCCACTGAGCTACAGCCTGTCCAGAGGCCAGGAATCATCCACACCCTGTGCAGTTAGGGATGGAGAGGGTTTCTCTCAGACACGGAACAATGTGGATAGCCCTCTGGAGGTGTCTGCTTAAAATCACTGTGGTCTACATCACCATCTGTTTTGCACACGATCCCTTGATTGGGTTCTCCACCGAACTGCGTCCAAATTATGGGAGCTGACAACTTTGAATTTTATAGTCTGCAGGTTTTAAATTTTTAGAAGTGTTTATTGTGGTGTCTGGCACATGAGAAGTGCTCAGTTGAATGCTTGTGGAACCAATTTCTCTGATACAGCCAATAAAAGAACAAAGTACTTCATGTTACCTGAATTTTTACTCTTTTTTTAAAGATATTAAGTATATTTCTATAATTTGATTACATAAGTCCTACAGTAAATATAAAAATATATATAAACACATACTTATAAAATTACATATAGGGGGGCCAGCACCATGGCTCAATAGGCTAATCCTCCACCTAGCGGCACCGGCACACTGGGTTCTAGTCCCGGTCGGGGCGCTGGATTCTGTCCCGGTTGCCCCTCTTCCAGGCCAGCCCTCTGCTGTGGCCAGGGAGTGCAGTGGAGGATGGCCCAAGTGCTTGGGCCCTGAACCTCATGGGAGACCAGGAGAGGCACCTGGCTCCCGCCATCAGATCAGCGCGGTGCGCCGGCCGCAGCGCGCTGGCCGCGGCGGCCATTGGAGGGTGAACCAATGGCAAAAGGAAGACCTTTTTCTCTGTCTCTCTCTCTCACTGTCCACTCTGCCTGTCAAAAAAAAAAATTACATATAGGGGCCAGCGCTGTGGCGTAGTGGGTAAAGCTGCTGCCTGCAGTGCTGGCATCCCATATGGGCACCAGTTCAAGTCCCAGCTGCTCCACTTCCAATCCAGCTCTCTGCTGTGGCCTGGGAAAGCAGTAGAAGATGGCCCAAGTCCCTTGGGCACCTGCACCCACATGGGAGACCCAGAAGAAGCTCCTGGCTTCAGATCAGCACAGCTCCAGCCATTGCGGCAAGTTTTGGAGTGAACCAGCAGATGGAAGACCTCTCTCTCTCTCTCTCTCTGCCTCTCCTTCTCTGTGTAACTCTGACTTTCAAGTAAATAAATAAATAAATCTTTAAAAAAATTACAGACTATATTAAAGTATATGATTATACATTTATATTGTATGTTTTATTTTTATATTACTTTATAATCATGTATTTATTCAATACATATCCAATATGTTATATATTGGAGGCTGGATATCAATTTAAATAAGTGTATCATGTTTTAAAATTATATTACAAATATGGCTTTGCAAACTATATTGTATTTATATCTACCCAAGCACATATCTACTCATGTATACGTCCATGAAGAAGACTGGCTAAGACAGAAACTAACTTTGGCATTTGGATTCTGCCCACCAAATACAGTGACAAATGCTCTATTGAAGTCAACGATTTCTCAAAGCCTCTGAGCATGCATTACTGTCATGTCCATTGTACACATCAGGAAACTGAGGTGGGATGAGACCAAGTCACATGACATGCATGGCTTTACCGGTTTGCTCAGAAAGCCAGCGCTGTGTCTTGCTGTCTCCACTTCAGGCTGCAGGGTCAGGAGCAGACTCTTCCTGGCCCTGCTCACATGCTAATGGTTCTAAAATGTGGATGCCTTCCAGGAGCTGCACACTGGGGTGCTAGATTTAACCAGGGAAAATACAGGATGCCCAGTTAGATATGAATCTCAGATAAACAACCAAAAAAAAAATCTTAACCTATGTATTTTGGAATAGTTCTAGATTTGGAGAAAAGTTGCAAAGATAAGTAGAGATTTCCCATGGACTTTGCGCCTGGCTTCCCTTACCATTAGCATCTCACGGAGCATGGCTTCTCACAATTCATGAACCGTATGGACCCACTGCTGTTACCTAAAGTCCACCCTCTGCCAGAGTCCCTTCGATGTGACCTGACATTTTCCCTTTCCATTCCAGAGGCCCGGCAGGCTCTCCCGTGCCACTCGGCTATCGGCTATCGTGTCTTCTTAGGCTCCTGGGCTGCAACACTTTCCCACCCTCCTTGCCTCCGATGGCCTGGGCAGTTTTGAGGCAGACTGGCCAGGTATTTTGTGGAATATCCCTTGACTGGAGTTTGATGTTTTTCTCAGGAGCACTTTGGGCGGGCGGCCCAGAGGTCAAGGGCTCTCCTCCCATCTTGTCAAGGGCACATGGGTGCCGTCAGCTTGGTTCCTCGCTGCTGACAGGACTTCAGCCGCCTGGCTGAGGCAGACTTCATCGGGTTCCCCATCTGCAGGTTGCTGTCTTCTCCCTTTCCACAGAATGTGCTATTTGGAAAGAAATCACTAAAGTGCCCAACACACACTATCTCATAAGTTGTTTGGAATTTTTCTACATGGCAAAACTTGTCCTTTTTCAGTGTCACTGAATCTCATGCAGTATTTATGTTATTAATTGTCTACCTATCTGTCAGAACAAAAGCTCTTTGAAGACAGGAATTCTCTACCTACAGCAACTGGCATAGCAACAACTCAATGAATATTTTTTAAATCTAAATTTACTTCTTGAATTGACAGGTAAAAATTGTATACACTGGGGGAGTGGGGATGTTGAGGTACGGTGGGTTAAGCCACTGCCTGGGACATCCTCATGCGACTCAGAGTGCCTGGGATCCCACCCCTGTCTCCTGCTTCTGACCCAGCTTCCTGCTAATGTGCACCCTGAGAGCCGGCCGGTGACAGCAAAGGCTCCTGGGTTCCTGCTACCCATGTGGGAAAACCCAGATGGACTTCCTGGCTCTTAGCATTGGCCTGGCCTAGCCCTGGATGTTGTGGCCATTTGAGCAGTGGTTGGAAGATATTCTCTCTCTCTCTCTCCCTCCCTTCCACATTTCAAACAAATAAACATTAAAAATTGATATATGCCTTTATGATGGTCATGTTTATATATATGTATATATATTGGAACGAGTAAATCAGGATACAGTTAATATAACTGTCACCTTGCATACATATTTTCCTATTGTGAGAATTTTTAAAAATTCTCTCAGCAATTTTCAAGCTCTGAGTAAGAGAATAAATAAGCAATGGACTCTCAGAGGCGGAAATGCACCCGGGCAGGGGCCCACCCTCCAGGATATGCGGCATCCAGGTGGTAAACCCAGCTGGGCAGCCCTGGGTCTTGAAGCCTTGACACGTGTGCAGTGGGTCGAACTTGCCACAGGGCCTCCTTCTCTAAGTGCATCCGTTTCTCTTCTTTAAGAGAAGGAAAAAAATGGACTGAAATAAACCTGGAGCCACAGCGTCCATTTTCAAGATCCGGAGAATGTTTGCCCCCAAGGTTTACCCGGCGTTGCAACAGCGCCATCTGTTGGCCATCGACAGCATTCACTGGTTTCTACTGGTCAGAGGAGCCTGCCCCAAGCATCTAGGACTGTGCCCACTCCCAGCGCTTGCCTGCCTGTGCTCTCTCGCTCTCGCTCTCGCTCTATATCCCCACCCTCCTCACCCCCATCACGGGCTCCCCTGATCTTCAGCTCCAACCTTTGATTGCCACATCAGAATGCTGATCATTGGGTCACAAAACCTAGAAATCTTGTATTAAGTGAAATGTTCCACATTTTTTGGGATTTTTTTTAAAATAAAGATTTATTTCTTCGAAAGGAAGAGTTACAGAGTGTGAGGAGGAGGTGGAGAGAGAGACAGAGAGAGAGATGTTCCATCCATGAGCTCACTCCCCAGATGGTCACAACAGCCCCAGCTGAGCCAGGCTTAACCCTCCGCACCTTGCCAGCCCCCAACTTTTGTGTTGAGAAAGGATTTATTCTTTACCAAAGGCCATGTGTGCCTAAGAAAATTCGTCTGTGGCTGCCTCTACCCAGGCTTCCTGCTCCCCACTGTGGAGACTCACATATAAAGGGAACTGATTTCTGTCTTTCTCCCCAGCGTACAGTCTCTTGGGCTCTCTGACAGCACTTTTCTCTTTATTTCTCTTTACCCACTAGCTGCATATCCCTTACTGTAAACCAGGTGCTGCACAGACCGAAGTTTAGCAAACTCCACTCCAGACTAGTACTTGCTGTAAGGACGTCAAAATAAGAATGGTTTTTACATTTTTTTTTTGGACAGGCAGAGTGGACAGTGAGAGAGAGAGACAGAGAGAAAGGTCTTCCTTTGCCGTTGGTTCACCCTCCAATGGCCGCCGCGGCCGGCGCACTGCGGCCGGCGCACCGCGATGATCCAATGGCAGGAGCCAGGAGCCAGGTGCTTTTCCTGGTCTCCCATGGGGTGCAGGGCCCAAGCACCTGGGCCATCCTCCACTGCACTCCCTGGCCACAGCAGAGGGCTGGCCTGGAAGAGGGGCAACCGGGACAGAATCCAGCGCCCCGACCGGGACTAGAACCCGGTGTGCCGGTGCCGCTAGGCAGAGGATTAGCCTAGTGAGCCGCGGCACCGGCCGGTTTTTACATTTTAAAATGGTTCAAAACCTTAAAAAGAGATTCTGTGAAGTTTGAGAGGCACACAGCTACACCCACTCATTGGCACATGGTCCGTGGCTACTTCAGGGTTCCCTGAGCAGATCTGAGAAACTTCTCGACCTGCAAAACCTCAAGTATTTAGTATCCTGGCCCTTTCTTCAAAACACAGATGAGGGGCCCGCGTGGTGGTGCAGCGGGGTGAGTGCCGCCTGCAATGCATGCATCTTGTCTCTCTCTTTTTTTTTTTTTTTTTTTTTTTTTGACAGATAGAGTTAGACAGTGAGAGACAGAAACAGAGAGAAAGGGTCTTCCTTCTGTTGGTTTACCCCCCAAATGACTGCTACAGCCGGAGCTATGCTGATCCAAAGCCAGGAGCCAGGTGCTTCCTCCTGGTCTCCCTTGCGGGTACAGGGCCCCAAACACCTGGGCCATCCTTCACTGCCCTCCCGGGCCACAGCAGAGAGCTGGACTGGAAGAGGAGCAACCAGGACTAGAACCTAGTGCTCACATGGGATGCTGGCGCCGCAGGCAGAGGATTAACCAAGTGAGTCATGGCGCCGGCCCCCTGGCATCCTGTCTTAATGGGTGCGAGGGGGTTCTTAATGATCTGCTTGCTCTTTCCCCAGAGGGCTGCAACGGCCGGAGCTGCGCCGATCGGAAGTCAGGAGCCAGGAGCCAGGAGCTTCCTCCGGGTCTCCCACGCAGGTCCCCACGCACTTGGGCCATCCTCTGCTGCTCTCCCAGGCACATGAGCAGAGAGCTGGATGGGGAGGGGAGCAGCTGGGACTGCAGGTCTGGGCTTTGACCGGCTGCACCGCAGGGCCTGCTGCTCCCCCTTTTCTTTTCACTTGCAAAGTACCTGCTGCCCTGACTTCGGAAGTCAGGGGTCTGTTTCGCCTGCTTTCCTGCTTTGTTTACGAGGAATCATTCTTTTGCCTGTGTCCATGTTCTTTAATTGAACATTGCATCTGCAACACTCATCCATTTTGTTTTGGGTGTTTATCGCTTTTGTAGCTACGTATTCTGTGGTGTGAATGTACCATAATTTACCTAAATTTTAAGAGTTTTCTTGTCATTTTTTGCTGCCCCGCTGCCCAACTCAGATGCCTTGTTTACATCGGTCACCTCCCAGAGGCCAGAGACAGTCAGTGGCGTCCTGGGTACTGCAGGTAGGACAAGAGGTGAGCGCTCACAGACTCATGCTCCGCATCTGTTCCAGTAACGCCCCACCCTACCCCTCAGTGTCTGAGCATTTGGCAGCTGGTGGAGCACAGGGGTCACTAGCGGGGCTGGGGGAGGGTCAGGCTCCGGCTGCTGAATAAAACACCACAGCCGGGGGCTTGGGCAACAAAAACTGATTTCCTCGCAGCTCTGGATGCTTGAAAGTTCAAGGTCAAGGTGCTGGCAGCTTTGGGTCCCTGCTTAGGCCTCTCTCCCTGTTTCTTGGCATGGCTGTCCCTCCGTGTGTGTCTGCCCTCTCTCTTCTTAAAAGGATGCACTAGTGCTGGATTAAGGCCAGCCAGATGGCCTCTTTGGAACTTAATGATCTCTTCAAAGGCCCTATCTCCAAGCACAGCATGAGGTCTGGGGGATACAGAGTGAATTTAGGGAGACAAAGTTCAGCCTACGACAGATAGCCTTGCTTCTTCAGGTCTCATGGGAGTCACCTCAACCGCACCCAAACCAGATGGGTGTGTGTTCCGCCACACCAGCTCGCCCTCCAGAGCGGTGCACCCCCAGCAATGGCACTGTCAGCCATGTGTTTGGGGCGCCCAGAAGTCAGTGGACCCCCGACCCCTTCTATCCCATCCACCACCAGGTCTTGCTACCGGACGTTCATCAACCTGTCACTTCTCCTCTGACCCTGATACTGAGAACCAAGTTCTCCCCTCACCCCCCAGGCTAGGGAAGATTCTAAATGTCCTCACCCTGCCCCAACCCAGCGCCCCTCACACACAGACCACCTGGTTCTCTCAGAGCAAGGAGTAGACTCCTCCCAGCTCCCAGAGCCTGGATGCTGGGCAGAGCCCCTTCTGCAGCAGGACTGCGAGTTCTCTGGTTCCTTCCACGTCACCCACATCAGGGCTGCTCAACCCCAGCACCCCAATGCTTGGTGCCGGGTGCTGTGCTGCGCTTTGCGGGGCTCTGAGCAGCATCCCCTGCCTCACCCAGCTGCCAGCAGCAGCCCTGTGCAATGGTTGGCAACCAGAATCTTCTCCAGGCAAAGCGGGGGTGGGGACATATCACCTGCGGGGAAGAATCCCCATTTTGCTCCGTGGTGGTGGTGGTGGGTGTTGTGAAAACCAAGTGCTGGGGGAACCTTGCCTTCCCGGCTCGTTGTCCTCAGTCTCTCCTTGCACAGGGACATGGTGGCAGCATCCATGCAGGGCAGTTACAAAGCCCCGTTAAGGTCTGTGGGGGATGAGCGACAACAGCCCTGCCATCCTGAGGCCACAAAGTCGCGTGGCTGCATTGTGGGTCTCACCTGAGGGCCTGGGCGGCTCTGTGACAGCTGCTACCTGTTTCCGCAGGAGGTGAGGAAGCCAAGTAATAAAGCAGAGTCAAGTCAGCTGCTCGGCTGGGAGCTCGCGCCTGGAGGTGGTGCCGAGTCTCCACCAGCTGTCCTGCCCACACTGGCTGCGCAGGACTCGACTGGGCATGCAAACTACAAATTGCAGGGGCCGAGGTATGCCCGCCACTAAAACGAGCAGGTTCAGGTAGGTGGCCAGGCCCGGGGAGGGGGGAGTGGGCAGGGACCCTCTGGGCACTCCGTGTGGTGAGCACAAAGGAGTCTTCACAAATCGGTGTCCCATCCGAGAGAGGCTCTGGCCTGGGGTAGTCAGAGTACCAGCATGCTAGACCCCCGGAACCACTCGACAGGTTCTCCTGTATCATCCAATTCTGGCAGGTTTTCCTTATTTATTACTTTTTAAAAAGATTTATGTATTTGAGAAGCAAAGTTACAGAGAGGGAGAGAAGGGTCTTCCATCTGCTGGTTCACTCCCCAAATGGCCACAATGGCTGGAGCTGGGCCGATCCGAAGCCAAGAGCTTCTTCCAGGTCTCCCACACAGGTGCAGGGGCCCAAGCACTTGGGCCATCTCCCACTGCTTTCCCAGGCCACAGCAGAGAGCTGGATCGGAAGTGGAGCAGCTGGGACTCAAACCAGTGCCCATATGGGATGCCGGCACTGCAGATGGAGATTTAGCCTGCTACAACACAGCACCGATGGACAGTTTTGCATTAAATAAACTCTATACTTTTAGCAGAAAACTAGCAGCACCTATGACAAATCCAAGGTACAGAAAGGATTAAAACCTAACTGGATAAAATTCCCAGAAAGGTGTTGTATTTTCTGCACCCTCCTTTAAAAGGAGAGTGGATAGTTCGTAGACATTTTACTAACACACTGACATCAAGTTGGCCTTTCTTGTTTCA